TATACATGCTGTTTGGCTTTTAGTCATGTGTGGGCTCCAAAGAAAATTAGACAATTGTCCCTTTCTCTCTCACACTTCTTTCTGTTTACAACTTGCCCAGTCTTTGTAAAAGTGTACTGGGTTTTGGGAATGGGAATTAATTGAATAAACAAGGAAGACCCTATTCCACTAATGCCCGTATCATACCCTGACCATTGAGTTTGTTGTTTTTTCTCCTCTGTGTGTTTTGGCAGGGAGTTCCTCCCCAAGGAGATTGAGGTTGTCCTTAAACTCAAGAGCGCCTGAATGAGGCGAGGAATGAAGAGGAAGACTTGATGAGATTAAAACTTGTTTCATCAAATGCGTTGGTTGTGTTCTACTTTATATATATATTCTTTTTAAACCCATTGACATTTTTTAAATGGGCATCTGCTTTACTGCCAAGCAAAATATGAAAACGTTAAGCAAAGCTCTAACTGCATCTGCCATAGGGCCTTACAGCAGGCCAATGAGTAAGACCTGGTGACCTAAATGGTCCAATTGAGCTAAAAAAAAATCTTAATTTTGATGGAGCTTGTTGAGGATAAATTACCAAGGCCTCAGCCGTCTACTCCTATAGTCAGCGTTCAGGCATGCAACCTCAGTCGCTCCTTTCTCTCTTTCTAATAATTGTAACACTTTTTATTTTATTTTATATTTCCTGGTATCTAAAGGCTTAAAACATGTTTAATCACTGGATCATAATCATAGACTACATATGTGTGATCATCATACATCATTGTTTGCCAAATGTACCTACTATGAAGATGACAAGTTTAAAATCTTTGTCTTCATAACATTCTGTGTCTCCAGACCTTCATTCCTTTAACTAGCTATCAGTTGAAGTCAATAACACATTTGGAGGGCATGATCTAATGTCCACTGTGTTCATTATTTAAATTGCATTCATGATGTAATAGATAAAAGGGTTTCTTTTATTAAATGACAAATACATACAGCTTGTCATTCAGGACATCAGACAACACATTCAAATCACTTTTTGATGGAAGTTTTTGGTTAAAGTATAAGTCAACAGATTGTGTTGTGTAGACCTTTGACATGACTGATAAAAGGAATACTTAATACTTACTTAACTTAATAATATTTATAAAGTGGTGGCTTACTCATCTTCAAACAGTAAAACTAAAGGAGTAATCATTTTAATTCGCAATAACTTAAAATTACATATTGTTAACAAAGGTCAAGATCAAGATGCAAGAATTGCTTATCTTCAAGGAGTCATTTGCAATAGAAAGATAGCTTTGATCGCATGCTATGCACCTAACTCATATGAACCTATGTTCTTTGAATCACTTTCAAAAGTAATTTCCGAAATGACCAATTATGACATTATTATTGGTGGTGATATGAATGCTGTAATTAATCCATTGTTAGATAGATCAAGGAATACCCAAAGCAATTCATCAGCTAACCTAGCATTAAGTACCATTAAAAAATAAATAACTATGCGTTGGTAGATATATGGAGAGTAAGGCATCCTATATCAAAAGAGTTTACTTTATTTTCTAAGAGGCATCTTACATTTTCAAGGATAGACTATATTTTAATCTCCTCTAAACTTGTAGATTTAGTTCAAAATACTGAAATATCACATATGTCAATATCAGACCACCACGCCAATGTATGCACCTTTTTTCTCTCTAAGGAGAACAATCGAGCTGCAAGATGGAGATTCAATTTAACATTATTACAAGATTCACGATACTGTCAACAGCTTAAAATCGGCTTAAAAAAGTTTATGTTGTTTAATTATAATTCAGTTAAAGATGTTAGGCATGTATGGAACGCTGTAAAAGGTTATGTTCGAGGCAACGCCATAGCGTACTCCTCAAACCGAAATAGGAAAGAGCTCAAGACAATCGTGGATCTAGAATGTACATTATCATCACTGATTAGAGAACTACAGGAACATTATAATTCAGATAAAGAGATAGCAGTATGCAAAGTTAAAGCTGAACTCAATGTGCTACTTACCAAAAGAGCTACATTTCTGATTCATAGGGTAAGAAACACAGAATATCTAGATGGAAGTAGACCGAGCTCCCTGCTGGCAAGTAAACTCCGAAATAACGAGCAGCTGGCCCAAATATCCTCAATTATGAATAATGATGGCATTGTCCTTTATGATCCAGTTCGTATTAATCATGAATTTTAACAGTTCTATAAACATTTATATACATCTCAAGTACACACATCAAAGGCAGAGTTAGAACATTTCTTTGTGGATCTGAATTTACCACATCTATCCCCTGAGGACATTGATCGCTTAGATTGTGAAATAACACTTAAAGAATTATCTGAAGCATTGGAAGACATGAACCTTGGCAAATCCCCTGGTACAGATGGTATCCCTCCGGAATTATATTCCCAGTTTTGGCCTGATTTAGTACCAATATTATTGGAAATGATTCAGGTAGCACTTAAAGAAGGACATTTCCAAAAGGACATCAATACAGCTATGATTTCTCTCATACACAAGAAGGGGAAAGACCCAAACGTATGCACAAGTTTTAGACCAATATCACTTATAAATTCAGAAATCAAACTTTATGCAAAAGTAATAGCTCGACGATTGGAGAAAGTCCTTCCGACATTAGTTCATTATGACCAAACAGGCTTTATGAAAAACCGATTCTCATCAGACAATATCAGGAGACTACTGCATGTTATTCATTTTGCAGCAGACATAACATCGCCTTGCGCCGTATTATCAGTTGATGCTGAAAAAGCTTTTGATAGGCTAGAATGGCCATTTTTGTGGCATACAATGCAAATAATGGGTTTTGGGACAAAATGTATGATTATGGTCAAGATCCTATATAATAATCCAAGTGCTATGGTTCTGACAGGCAATAAGTGGTCACCTAGATGTCCAATTCTACGTGGCACACGGTAAGGCTGCCCTGTCTCCGCGCTTCTGTTTGCAATTTCTCTAGAACCGCTTGCACAGAAAATAAGACTATCCAAAGAAGTAAAACAGATAGTTGTAAAAGACACAGACCACAACATTTCGTTATATGCGGATGATCTACTACTGGACTTGGACGAGGTACCAACTACGCTTCCTAAGCTCTTAAATATTTTTACCCAATTTAGTTCAATATCTGGTTACAAGATCAATTTGAATAAATCATGTATTTTACCCCTCAATAGAGCCATGGTTGAACTAAACTTAAATACAGAATTGCAGATTGTCCAACAATTTAAGTATTTGGGAATTGATATATATGCCTGATTAGACACAATAGTAGCAAAAAACTACAAAATAATGTATACAACAATTAAAGATGACCTAAAAAAGTGGATTAATATAACAATTTCTTTAGCAGGACGAATTTCAATCATAAAGATGAATGTTCTACCAAGAGTCAATTTCTTAGCTAGTATGTTGCCTTTACCAGACGGTTTCTGGGACAAACTTCAGAATAGGATTTCAAAATATATTTGGAAAAACCAATACCCAAGAATCAGATACAAAGTTTTACAATATGACAAAAACAGTGGAGGCCTTAATGTTCCCAATCTCGAGCTCTATTATTATTCCTTCACGCTTCGAGCCTTAAAACACTGGATTGATGAAAGCACCAATGTACCTTGGATTAAAATTGAAAGAAGTATAGTCTATCCCCTTAAACTTGGTGATGTCTTATTTTCTGCCATGTCGCCATATGACTGTATGCAAACATTTGGACCAATTATTGGGCAAGCCGTGAAAGTGTGGAAACATGTGGAGAAATTGTGCAATTGGTCTGTAGATTGGCATAGTAACATACCCATTTTTCATAACCTGTTACTACGTATTGGGAAAAAAGCAATCCAATTCCCACAATGGCAAACCCGAGGAATACATTATCTTTCTGACATAACCAACGACAACGGCTTGATGTCCTTCCAAGAATTGAAAGATACGTATAATGTGCCTGGCTCTTCCTTCTTTTTCTATTTACAACTACGTACTGCCATGCGCACATATGGAGTTCCTTGGAATCAACCTCTGCCAACACATCAATTGGTTAAGGTCATATTAAGTCCAAACAGTGTGAGCGGCACTACTTCATATATATATAAAAAACTGCAAGATAAATTAACCGGATATATTGGCATCTCTGCAGTATGGAACGCAGATCTAAAAAATGATATGCAGACTATTGATTGGAAGAGAATATGGAATAATATCTCCTTAACATCGCGTAACCACAATCACCAATTGATACAGTATAAAATGATACACAGATATTACCTGTCAACCAGAAAATGCTGTCAATTAAGGATGATTCCAAGCCCCATATGCCTTCTCTGTAACCAAAAGACTATTGGCACATATGTACACATGGTTTATGAATGTACTGCAGTAAGAACGTTCTGGAAACAGGTTATTGACATTGTATCTGAGATTATTGGAGTTCACATACCCTGTCTCCCAAATATTGTATTGTTGAATGATGATTCTTCTCTTGATCTACAGAAACATCAGAAAAGGGTGCTTTTCGCTGGTCTAACAGCAGCGAAAAAAATAATAGTAATACGATGGAAATCCCCACATACTTTATTTATTAAGCAATGGATATCATCCTTCCATGACCTACTAATTTCAGAGCTGTCAATCGATTCTGCTAATAAGGCTAAGGGGGAAACATTAGAGGCTATTCAAAGAGCTGCTGATCGGGTAATATCATTCATGTAAATGATGATTGTACATATACGCACACCTTGGTGCAATTGTGGTTTATTAGGAGTTAATCGCAATTCAGCTTAAACAGACGAAATGTTATGTGGAAAAAAAAAAGGAATGAATTTATTATTCCTATTATTAATTTATTTAATTTATTATGTGGATAAATTGTTATGCTATAAATTGTTATGCTATATTCTATAACACATAGGTGTGAGCAAGCTCTCTGATTGGTCAATAGGCGTGTTTGATTCCACGATCAATGAACGGTCAAATAGAACGTGCCTTTTCACAACAAGTCAGTATCCCTCCGCGTCTGAGAAAAACGGTATACCCTTGGCCTGAAAAGCAAACTGCTCCAGTACAGGCGTACGGACCTCGGCGCAAGCGCCTCGGTCCTGCCGCAGTACTGTCGTACCAATAATGACGTTAAAGAACGGCCTCTCATGTATGATTGCTTAAATATATATATAATATATAGATGAACTCAGACGATTGCTAAAAAACATCAGGTAGGATTTTCTGTGAAATGGCAAGATGGGTGGGAAGAGGGGGGGGACGGGGTGGCATGGGAAAGGGATTCCCTATTCGAATGTATTCTTGATGCAAACCTTTTCCAGTCTATTGGAAACAGAGTGTTTGCAAAAGGATAATGTAAGCTTGCCCAGTTGCTGTCAGGGGTCTGTGTGGCAGTTTATTAAACGTTTATATTGCTTCATAATTTCTGTGTAATCTCTCATTTTAAATGTCAGTTCAGCAGGTCATATCACACAGCAATTGTTTTTAATCAGTATTAAAGATTGTTTTATCACACCCCACACGATGATAAGTTAATGATTTTATCATTGATTATGTCATACTGTTGACATAATTATTAGTCAGGCACCTGACTCACACCTCACCAGATGTTGGCTTTGAGGCGCAGATTTGTTCATTTCCAGATACAATGACGCCATCTCTTTTATTGTTCACTGCGTAGGTCTCTATAAAAACCACCCGGAATAGCTACTGTGAACGCAAGGCTTTTTTTACGCAGTGGATTACTGTGGATGTAGTCTAAGTGTTATGTGACCTCGTACTATGATCTTTCTTGCTCATACGGCATAGTTTCTCTAAACAACAATTCTAGGATAGTCTGCTTAAAAGCCAGGTACAATACGAAAAGAGGCAATGTAAAGTGATAGAGACAACAGAAACAAGCAATGTGTTCTTCAACCACATTAGTTGCATTACATTCAGCTCTGTTTTAACAAACTTAACTTTTGTAATAATCAGGGACAAATTCAAAAGGGGACTGAACCGATTTTGCTAACCCTTTGCAAATGAGACAAAAATATGGACTGTAATCAATCACCAGCAAAGGTTGCCAAGCAAAAAGCGTAACTCAACTTTTGATATTTGTATGTAAAGAAATAAGGTAATATGCATCAATTTGAAGTAAAATAATTAGTGGTAACCGAAGGCGTGTCTGCTCAAACTGAGATAGGATATAATGAGAGTTGTGTCATGAAACATAAATTAATTAAGCTTTCCTGAGTTACATCTTTTAAATACATTAAGAAAATAACTGTTATTTAAAACAAATTAAGGTTACGCTTTTGCCCCCTCCTGCCGTGATCTCTTTTGATGAAGAGATGACATCGATCTTTTTTCCTGCTGTGCGATCCCTTGAGATTATTGATTACAAATATGTGATGTAATACAGGAACAATACATTACTGCACACCTTGGTTGGGGTTCCTTTATGCTTGACTTCACCCAGAAACCTGTAGTGTTTACGATCGACGATGTTTTTTAGAATCTCCCTTGCCTCGCTCTTGGAGATTATCCTCTGTGGAGTTGAGTATTTAGTCAAATACACAATCTAAAGGACAAACAGGACAGAAGAGCAAGTTAGAAAAAGGAAGTCACTGACACTGTAAACTGAGAAGCATGAGACACAACATCTGCAGAACAACTTTGTGATAACATTTGTTCTACTTTAATTTGTTCTTAAAAATATGAAAAACACTCCATGACCAAATTGCATTTGCTAAACCAAATAGTCTGTTAATATCATCTGTAACCAGAATGGCAAGTTTTTGTTTCTCCGTGAGCCGAAGAGCATTACTTTGAATCTAAATTGCCAATGGTTGTGTCTTAACTTAACCTTTACAAAACCAAAAACATAAGTGTAAAGGTGTAAGGAAAGGATTAAATGGTGAGTTAACCCTATCTGCTCTAATGTGCCTGTTGTTATTAGCATGTCCTTGTGGCATGCCCTGGCCAAACTCGTTACCCCAGTAAGAGCATAAGGTTTTCTGGTCAAAATCAAATCAAATCAAGTTTTATTTATATAGCACATTTATAAACGATTTTTGGTCGAGCCAAAGTGCTGTACATATAATAAAAATAGCCTACAGTAGAGACACTTTACAGCAAATACAACAGCACAGATTGTTCAGAATATCAGTATGAGAAAAACGACACCCTCTATCCTTAGACCCTCACATCGTACAAGGAAAAACTTCCGGAGAAAACCCACAGTTTAAGGGGGAAAAATGGGAGAAACCTCAGGGAGAGCAACAGAGGAGGGATCCCTCTCCCAGGACGGACAGACGTGCAATAGATGCCGTGTGTAAATCGAAGAGATAATACATTTTACAGCATATAGACCGAATGTTAGGAAATGCATGTGTCTGTAATAAGAAGATGAATCTACGAAGATGTCAACTACAATCCTGTGGGAGCCTTCAGGGAAGCAGCATGACGAGACCCAGGCAGGACCGCAGAGACAGGTTCAGCCACGATTTATCTGGTGAGTTTATTTTGTTGTGTTGTTAAACATACTAACAAGATAAAAGGAATACGGTACCACCAAAATGATCATTTCTGCATTAACAGTACTCGCACAGAAGAGTAGTTCCCCAGTGCACCTGATTATGCAGTAGTGTTTTAAATAGTACGTTTCCCCCCCAAAGAAGTGTTGGATAAACGAGACATGGAGTATAGTGCATACATTTGTAAACAAATGTTAGATATTGTTATGCTATTTTTACTTAAATTCATCAAGACTTTTCTCGTTTTTTTAATAATTAATTCACTTTGAGGTGACAAAAAACAAAGTTTTCTTCACCATCTTCTTCTACATAGATCATAGTGAGGATTTAGTCTTTTTAGAGGAGTGTTAGTGAAAGCCTGTGTCTCTAATGGATCAAAAATACATGGTAAGTTTATGAATAATGCTTTGTTTTATTGTTAAAAGACAAGCTCACAGCACAAAGTGGTTTCTGCTGACCTGTCAGCTTGGTGTAGGCCTCCATGTCAGCTATGGCTGTGGAGAGGGTGAACATCCTCCCTCCTGAGCCTTTAATCTGGATGTGCTGGTCTGCCTTTAAAAAGGCCTCTGTGATCCTGTATGAAAGTAATATGTTATTACTTTGTGCATATACCATACACAATATTTGATTAAATTAAATTATTCAAATCAGAGTACCAACGTGAGAAGGGAAGATACTCACATATGCTCTATGATCTTAACCACGTTGTGCTGGTAGGCTCTTCTGTGGAGAGAGTACCTCGTGTGGAACAAGTCATAGAGATTGTTCACCTCCTGTTAACAGAATTATCTATAAGTTACCACAAATAATTTCAATTGATTGCTGTTATAAAAGCTGATCCAAAACAGATGTCACAAAGTCAGCACCTTTTCTCTAGTGCAGATGTGCTTCTGCCCTTTCACCTTCTGCCCGTCCACCTTATACACCCTGGCAAACTTTATGAAGCGGTCATGGTCAAAGTTGTTCTTGATGCCCAGGTGGTGGCAGTCCCTGATAGGACACAAAGGCAAGACAAGTAAAGAAAATGTGCTTATTACAAAAACTCATGTAAGACACCAGGAGAATGCTACATGTTCTTTAATAACCAGGACTATGTTCTAAATGTGAATTATTTATTTGTATAATACACATTTGTTTAATTGCATTAGAAAGTGAACTGCTCTAGCTGTTGAACCAAGCCCCACCTGGCAAAGTAGTCAAACTTGTCCACATCAATGCCGTTTCTTTTGTTGGCCACAATCTCATAGAGGAAGGACTTCTCTTCTGGACGGCCTTCATATGGCCACTGTGGAGATGACAGCACAGAGTGACTGGCATTAGACATTGGCTATTGTAGCAATAACAAAGATAATGCTGATATCATTCAATTCAAATTGCATGACTGACTTCCTCTTGAGCTTCCGGGGGTTTAATCATCTCTTTGATGAAGACCAAGTCTTCGGACAGCTTCAGGCCATATGCCTCCATCATCCACTGCAGATCCTCATTGGATCTCACCAGGTGGTCGAACATTTCTACAGAGGCGTCCTCATGCTGCAAGGAACACAAATTCATTGATATATTAGTATGAGAATTCAAAGTGATAAAAATGAACAATGACTCACTGTTTGAATAGAAAGGGCCTGGCTTTGCTGAAAACATGACAGTTTAGTTGCCAAAACTTACATAACGACAGGGATCTCTGTAAAGCACACAGACTGGTTTACACCGCTCCCCCTATACCAGATGTTTAACCACTCCCACTCTTCTCATACATGTTTAAGTTATTGCTGATATTTAACACAGCTGTAATGGTTATTGAAACTGAAAAAGTCAAAAATGACATCAATTCTATTGAGTAAGGGAAAATGGGAAAGAGAAGAATGAAAAGCATCATTAAAATAATAAATGTGAGGCGTGTCATTATTCTGTATGCCAATAGTGCAATCAATACATTTCATATTGATAAGTTAAAGTGATATTGTTTCCATTTACCCTTTAACTAAACTGAAACGCCTGAATTAAGAGTAGAATATGAATATATATATATATATATATATATATATATATATATATATATATATATATATATATATATGTGTGTAAGCTTGCCCAGTTTTTTTTCATATATGATATATATGAAAACCTTTCAAGAAGTTCCTGGAAGAAAGCAGACAAAGGTAGTTATAATATCCTTTGAGAGAGTACCCTGCGTGTGTCTCATAATACCATGAATGCCACAACTAATTGTGCTTAAAGGAATAGTGCATCATTTAGGAAAGGATTATGCTTTATTGCTTTTGACTGAAAAAAGCAACAAAATACAACATATTAATTAAAGGCAATTTCAAACCTAACGTTAAATATTGCATGTGTGATAAGGTAAGATAATACTTTATATTGCATCATAGCAGCTCCATTTGCAACATCAAACAGGGACAAATATTAAGACACGATACAAGAAAACAAACATTTAACATAACAATCACTGAAGAGAAAACAGGCTTAAGACCCTCAAGCGCACATTTGTCCTGGGATTGAGCTCTGTATTTAATTAGAGGATGGACTGGTGCACAAAGGAGTGCTTCAGTCTAACTTTATTAAATCGTGGGACCCTGTACCTCCGACTTGATGGTAACAATTCATATTCACTGTTCAGGACATGTTAGGGATCAGAGATGTTGATGGCCAGCCTCACTACGGTATTATGGTTGATTCATAGAATTCCTCACAGGGGTGACCTACAACCTTTGAGAAGATTTTCAACTGGTGGAGCAGTTTTGACTTTAAGGCAGAAGACAAACACTTTTACCGTGTAGTATTGCAATACGGTAGAACAGTCAAAATCACAGATCAAATAAACACGATCAGATCATGACATGCAGCTGCTGGCTGTGTTTTATAAATGTGTTTTATTTCTGTTGTTGGGTATAAAGTCACACAATACAGACAATAGGAATAATAACTGCTCACCTTCCAGGTTCTCATTTTTTCACCTAGTGGACCAGATGGGCGTGTTGCTTTGGGGATGAACATTTGATCAAACAGATGGGAAAAGGGTCCATGTCCTATATATGGAGAAAAATTAATATTTTAAGAAAATGGCGATTGGCTATAAAACAAACTGAAGTTAGACATTTTAACATACTTTTTTTTTTTAAATCTTTGTTTCAAAGTGTATGTGAGAAAAACTTCAATAATTAAAAAGTTAATACAGGGTAAGTAATTGTTATATGCAAATTGTCATTTTGTTGATGAATTATTCATATTAAAGAGTAAGGTGTGTATCACTCACCCAGGTCATGGCATAGCCCAGCAATCTGAACACAAAGGATGTCTCTGTCTGTGATGCCAAGATCCGGCTACTTTTCCTTCAGCGCTTTCACAAACACTCCTGCTAAGTGCCCCACCCTTCACCAAAGCATAGAGCACACAACAATAAAAAGTCATCACACAATTACCACTTGAGTGTCCTTCTACAAAACAGGATATTCAATTTGTTTTAAACTGTTTATTAGGTGCTGCCATATGTAAATACAGTCCATTTACAGCAAACAAGTCTTCACTTAATATTGATTTTGGATAACATTAACACACATTGGACATACCCAATTGAGTGTTCAAACCGGTTGTGGGAGGCTCCAGGATAAACAAAATAGCCCGCCCCCAGCTGCTTGATGTATCTTAATCTCTGGAACTGAGGCGTGTCGATGATTTTGACAAGAAGAGGGTGCAACTCCATATGTCCGTGGATTGGATCATTAAACACCTAACAGAATACGTACAACAACAAAACCTGTGAAATGATGACCCTAAAGAGTACAACTAAACAAGCTCCATTTCTTCTGAAGGCCCTGAACATGTAGTATGATGTAATAAATAAAACTAAATATGATATCACCTTGGGAGCTGATGGCTCCCCAGCTACAATCATCTCCAAGATTTTCTGACGATCCTCAGGTGGACTAAAGAAATCGTTAAAAAAAACATAGTAGGTTATAAGTTAAAAGTCAAGCCAGGGGGAAGTTGTTGCACCAAATTAGTGCCACTGCTTCAGGACAATGTGCAACACACTTCCTTCTTTTCATGATGTTAAACCTGGTTTGACAAGGAATGATACTCACTCTATGCCCATCTCAGTCAGAACACCATCATTGAACTCCCGCAGCTTAATAACAGCCTTTTATGGGTAAAAGAAGATGCAGTGAATTACAGTCATGTATCACATTGTATTTTGTATGACAAGTTTATAAACTAAGTTGAATAAAAAAAAAAACTAAAGCATTTTTCTTCATCAGCTTATTCAATTAGGCCAGCGATGATATAAAACCTAATCATCAATTTAAATAACCAAACCAGAAACTTACCTTTAAATGTATCTTCCCACTTTCCAAGTCCTTTATCTTTCAGTAACTTACACATAGCCTCCAAGCTTATTTCCCCATAGTTTTCTGACGCCATTGACAATGTTTTCTGTGTCTAACTAACGATAGAAGACACAAATGATGTCGCTCCTTAAAACAGCTGATCATGAAACATCACAAATAGGCTCCGGCTTTGAGAAGTACCTGGCTTTTATGTCTCGACCACACCCATTTGATTAGTCACTGCCCATAAAGGGGAACTATGTTGTGACAACTATACAACCAAAAGGACAGCTTAATAATAACAACAAGACCAAAGCAAGTTTTTCAATAAGTCTTGCCAACAAATTCTTGACAAGCTAAGGTACAGGATGCTGTATCTACTTCATAGACAAACAAAGGTGTCGCAAGAGAGCAGTACATTACATTGGCTCCTTTTGCTGCTACTTTGACAACATGGTTCCTACCGGTTTTGTTTTCGTGCTGTTGATGCCAATTTTCATTTTCTTTTATAGTGAGTCGGTGATTTGATAAACTAAGAGTGAGGTACATTTTCGCCTTGCAAATTTTCCATCCAACTGAAGTAAAATTTCTAAATAATTTGTAGACAAATGTGACTACTGTAAGGGAAACTTCTGTGTAGCAATGCAGTGGGAGTCACCGACTCAGGAAAGAGACACGGTAGAGCAGGAGCTTCGATGTCAAACACTGGAGGTTTATTTGGAGTTACGGCCGGAGAATTCACATCACAAGTCACAGCAGTCACGGTCTGACTGCACGGGTAGGTTGCCACGTCAATTCTAAAGAACTCTACCCCGGACCCATGTATTTAGCTAGTTCTGAGAGCATCATCAACATGCTGCATAACAAGATAAAATCATAACACCTCTATCAGCTGATGTCAACAGGCAGGAACATAGAATCATAACACCTCTATCAGCTGATGTCAACAGGCAGGAACATAGAATCATAACACCTCTATCAGCTGACGCCAACAGGCAGGAACAGGGAGACAGAACACTGAGAGCACAGCAGCCAAGGTTACGAGGTGCGTGTGCTCAGTCAGGACAGTTTTAACTGATAAACTGGGTCAAAGTTATGGGCCTTGGAAAATATTTCCACAACAACTACATATGTTAGTGCTGTTAGATCGTGTAGAGTGGTGCAGTGACAAGTCCTAAAACCCGGAAGTGAGTTAACATTTTAACTCTATAGGTTCCCTGGTTTCAGAGTCAACGGGATTTCTCCATAGGATTTTGGAAAATAGCTGGAAATAAGGTCATTGGTTAACACAAATTTAAGAGACGGATCACGTTTTGTTCTACGACATTAAATACATCGGCAGTGACTCCACTGGTGATTTTTGAAGAGTTTACGTGTCTGAAAAACGATGGTTGTTAACAAGTGGCTGAATAGGACAACAAAAGTTGTCGAGGACGTTGTACGTCATTACACCGAACACGTAAACACTCCCGCTAAGTTTGTTTGCCCCTGTTCTGCTTGAAAGCAAGTACCTGTCCTGCGCTCTTGCAAACTGTTAAAACAAACGCTTCAACTTGTACAATTTTGAATCTGTATTTTTGAAAATGGATCTTAAGTTGGCAAGTCGTTGAAGTTGTGCGACCCTGCTGTACTCGGCTGTAGTTCGTTTAGTGCATAACGTTAGCATTTTTCTTCTGGCGATTAAACTTATGATTCGTAAATTATAAAAGTAGGGTAGACATGTGGATATTATCCGGTTGAACAAAACGTGCATTCATCAAACAGGTTTGTTGACCCTGATCAATGAGAACAAACATGAGGCAGAATCGGTAATGCTACGGAGTCCCCAAAGGCCACAAAGTGTGAACATAATAGAACATATTTTAGACTGCCCGGGCATAAGGAAGTTGCTTTGCTTATGAAATCTAATCAAGTAAATCTTTGAGGAACTTGTTCTTCCATTTATTTTTCCATTCTCTGTTACTTTAAACTCCCACTTCACTTCAATCAGGAGAGACGTGATGTATGACATACATGTTTATTACCGGGACACATAATAAGAAGGAATAGTGATTGACAGATAACAACAAGTGAATGAAATGATGTTTGGCGATTAGGCCCCGGTTTGCAGAATGATCATTCAGGAGGGGAAAAACCGCTCCGATGAACCCCCCGGGGTCTAGACACTGGTGGTGGTGATAAGTAGTTCGGTCTGAATGGAGAAGGTTTTAGCTTGGCCCTGTATTAGGAGACAGGAGGCGAAGGGGTGGAGGAGGGTTGCGCGTTGACACCTGAAATGACAACTGACAAGGGAAGAGCAGATTTAAAGGGGTTAGCGGGTGCGATGATAGGCTTGTGAGAGATGGTGAGAAATGATTGGCTAGCTGGGGAGTAACGCCCCCGATCACTTATTGAGAGAGGAGAGAGTATTGAAATGACGTGTCACAGCCAGAGGATATTGGTCTTCCTGATTGAATTTGCGCTGAGCTTCATTACTTTACAATTGTTACATTTGAGCTTATCTCTACCAGCAACACCAATAAAATACTGCTTCCAATAAATGCATCAAAATGTCTCATCCAAAATGTTATAAATAATAATACAAATCCGTGGCCATTTGTCAAATATGTGGCAGTTTGGTACTTTGAGTTCATATTGCGAATGCTAAATTAGTGCCTTCACTTTGCTGTTTAGTTAATTTAACTTTAAAACATCTGAATACTTCTTCCAGCTCTGTATCACAGTAGATTCAAGGTGCTCCCAGGTGACACATTTCCATTAGAGGAGAATTTAATATCAAACTCAGCAGTTTTGATTAAATGCATATAGACAACTGTTGTTATTCAAGCTCTCAAACAAACAAGCGGGCAGTAAATCACATTGGCTCTTTTTGCTGCTACTTCGACAACATGGTTGCTACCGGTTTTGTTTATTCATGCTCTTGATGCCAATTTTCATTTTTTTCTACAATGATTTGCTGATTTGATAATCTAAGAGTGAAGTACATTTTCGCCTCGCAAATTTTCCATCCAAATGAAGCAACATTTGTAAATAATTTGTAGACAAATGTGACTACACATGTTAGTGCTGTTAGATCTTATTGTCTTTCATTTTTGTAAAGCACTTTGAATTGCCTTTTGTTGAAAGGTGCGTTATAAATAAACTTGACTTGCCTTGCCTAGTGATGACTGAAAATCAACTAGGATTAATACATGTCCAAAGTGTCTATTTGTTAGTAGTAAATGAGAAGAGCAATTTAGCATTGGAATTGAAAATGTTGTTTCATAAGGACCAATGAGAACAAACATGAGGCGGAATCGAAACAGGAAAGTGTAAAAACATGTTGAATCATTAAACATCTGATAGAACAAAAACAAGACGCACCTAGTTGTTTTATATCTAAAAACAATACAAGGAGAAACACCGGTTCTCTTGCATGATCAGTGAACTAGTTTGTCTTCATTTCATACTCAATCTACCTGGCAGTAAAGCTTTTACTAAGCACCTAACTAGATAGGACACGGCTGGCTTGAGCGATCCACTTGATAACCAGCGTCGTAGTACAGTTCTCTCTCTCTCTCTCTCTCTCGAGAGAGAGAGAGAGAGAGAGAGAGAGAGAGAGAGATAGCTATATGAGTGTTAGTGAAACTTTTTAACTTTCATTTAACAATAAATAGCTTGAAACTTTATATGCAAGTTTCAAAGTAGCTTCCTGAAATGTAATGAAGAGTCCCCAAAGGCCCACAAGTGTGCACACAAAACATATTTTCGGCTGCCTGGGCATAAGGAAGTTATCTACTTAATCTTAATACTTAATCTCTGTTAGTTTAAACTCCCACTTTACTACTTGACATTCAAAACATAGCTTTTAAAATGTGGCACGGCATTATTGATAAAGCTACATATTAGTCTATAAAATAGTTACATATTTACTTATCTCAACCAGCAACATTGTTTAGTTGTACATTGCTTATTTAATATTCCAATCACTTGTATATAGAAACGTATTGCACTATTTCACTATTTCAATATTTTTCTTTTTGTATTTACTTGCACTATTATTTCTGTTTTCCTGTTTTTATTGTGTTGCACTGTTGGTGGAGCCTGGGACCTAAGATTTTCATCGTCATAACTACACTGTAGCTATATGTACGTATGACTAATAAAAGCCTTGTGGTCTATGAGTGGTGGAAATGTGTCTGTTAGCTACGAGTAGTCCATTGTAAATAATAATTGTTATGTTTGTTTTTTTAGTAAGCTGACATTAAGTAATGTTAATATCTATACAGGTTTTTTATTTCACTCCTCTTTTAGCTGACATTTAGTAAATGCAGGTACATTTTTAGCAGCTATTCATACTAAATCAGTTGTCCCTCCCCCTGATGCCAGGACCAACAGATCCATCTCTAAATTTAGCAGCCCTGTCCCCCCATAAGTGTTATATTTTCACACCTCAGTGTCAGTAAATATTGTGCAGTTAGTATTGGACTACAAGATAGATGCAAGCCTGTACAGGTAGAGTTATTTAAAGCATAATGAGTCCGGTTGGGTTCTGGAGGTGTGGTTACAGCAATTGTGCTTGGTTGGTGTGGCCTGGGGCCTCATTTATAACGCCGTGCGTAGGATTCACGTGGGAAGGTTGCTTACGTAGTAGAAATCCAAAAAATAGGTAACGAACATTTCCGAAATTTTCCGATTCACCAAACATTGCGTTCCTACGCCGGTTTCCCTTTTATAAATCACAATCGACTCGAAATGAGGTGGAGCTTTTGCGGGCTTTCACGTAACGCCCATATTTTGCCTATACATAGTCAAAGAAACGCCCATTCATTCATTTATTTTGACTGACTGCGTGAAGAAGATCGCAGGAAATGACGACAGAGCAGCTAAAAAAGACATCTCACACCGTGTCAGATTGTGGTTATTTTGGGGAGGTCGAGATAATCATATTGTTTGGTAGATGCCGTTTGAACCAGAGTAGCAGCATGGAGGTCGGATCGTCACCAAAATAAATAAATAAGTGGGTCCGAAAAAGGTTCCATGACAAAACAAATACACATAGCCTTCCTCAGGCAGTGTGCTTGTACCGGGGACAGGAGACACCCCCCTTGATGAGAGACTTGTAAGAAATGATCGGGGAATCCCTCCGGAGTGGAGTCATGACGACTGGATCTGAATTATGTTTTCGTATTTGGGTGGTTTGTGTCCCAGCTGTCGATCAGCTGTGCGCAGCGTCTCCACTGCAGCCTGTGCATCTCAACCCCCACCCCCCCCCCCCCCCACCTCCCCGCAGCAACTCTATATCCACCAGTTAAAGGAAATACAACTATG